AGCTATCTTCTTCCTTCAAAGGCAGCTGTGGGTGTGTCCATCTGCTGTATATTCCCTGCCTTTTGTAAACAATGCTCCATAAGCTCCATGCAAAGACAAAAGTCTGATTCCTTAACACTATAGGACTCTACTAGAACTCCCGGAGCTCAGTCACTCACTACTTTTATTAGAATCAAGTCATTCAAATAGTTTTCTATCTTTAATACATATAGGAAATACAGCACAATATAGATGCTAACTGCTCCAAGTAAACAGTGTGTTGCTATGGTAACTAGCACTTCTAGTCTAGGATTGAGATAATATCACAAACATATTTACATTGAGATAAACTACATTTAGATTCAGAAAAAGTCTGAAAGTTTTGAAGACCAAAAACGTACATAAACAGAGTAATAAGTTCAAATGGGAGTTTGAGTGTTAAAGCTGGGGTACCTTATTTTCAAAGCACACAATTCCTTTGTTCTTTGCTCTAAACCAATGGCTTGTTTCACTTATACATTTTCACATTCATGTATTTTTGGCCTTCGTCACATCTTCAGATCATCTTTTCAGGCAGAATATTGAAATAGGGAGGACTACCCTCACTCCGCCCAAAGAGGCAAATGGCGACTCACAGGGCTCTTCCATAGTAGGCTGATGATAACATTTTGCGTAGACTGTTTGGACAAACTACATGTGTTTTTTATGAATCAAAAAGTGATGTGCCCCAGGCCCCCAGCTTTAATTGAAGAATGAAGTAGTTGAAGTTGAAGTTCTTTGTAGCCATTAAAACTTATTTTTGTCTTACGGAATAATGTTATAAATTAAATTAATACATAAATAACAATTAGATAAATGAAATAACAATACTTTTTATTCATTGAAATTCCTTGCCACTTTATAACCTCACACCTCTGGTCACTTGTTTGTATGTATACATTAGATTTTATATAAACATTAGATTATATGCATGCCTTTATTTTATTTTGTTTTACTTGTTTGCATCATGAGCCAAATTCCTAGTTTGTGACTTCCTGTTACTGACTATGGCAATAATAATAATTCTGATTCCAATTCAAAAACTGCACTTTTTTCCAGACACATTCTCAACCAAGCTTTGTCGAGCATGAATGGCCCGTTGCCGTCTCTAAGAATCTAAAACGTCACAAGAGCACAGTGCAAAACAACATGTGTGTTACTTAGACAATGTGAGCTGGTTTCTGTGTGTGCAGCCGCAGCAGACCTGAACAACAGCAGTGTCCTGAAGTGGTACAAGAGTGTGAAAGACACCAGTGACATTTTGCATGAGCTCCTTTCCCTGCTCAAAGAATGTTCCACACTGCTGCCAGGTCAAGCAGACTAATGGTTACTGTAGGCGGCTCAGTTAACGCTAGAGTTTTCAGTAAATATTTGACAGTTATACGTAGTTTAAACTGTAAATGTCGGCGTGGCTGCTGCTGCTGCTGCTGCTGGCCTGGCCCCTGTGTGCGCACTATCCTAAGCTGCAGTCAGTGTGGTGCTCATTATCACTGAGAGCATGTGCGAGCTATGACGCACTGTGTCGCGGAGCTCGAGCGTCAGCACTGCTCCTCTTCATATAAAGCACCTCCTTCATATCAATACGCCGGCCCCTCCCCCAGCGGCCTCTATTAGCATGTTTTTTTGAGCAATGCCTACAGCTCTCGCACCACGGTGAGGACCAGCAGCTAATATGGCATGCAGGTGTCACTAACTGCTATCTAATGGCGGGCGGAGGTTTATGAACTCCACACAGGAGGCTGCACTGACGTTGTAGTTGAGTAGGTTTTTTTTTTCTGTGTCACACACTCGTACTCTTTGTGGCTTTCTTTATATACTATAGGAATGGGGAGATTTTTTTACCCAGGGTTATACTTACATAAGCACTCTTATTTAGTGGAAATATTAGTGTGATGTTTAACAAAATAAAACAATATTTTGAATCAAGAAAGTGCTACCTGATTGTGTTTATGGGTTTAATGTTAAATGCAAAAAAAAAACACTTTTTCCAATAAAATAACTACATTGTAAAGTACCGGGATCTGCTTTCGTAAACAGCATCTAGATACATTAACAGTCACGCTGCAAAGATTTTCACAAAAGGTTGGAAATATTTAAGTGTGTTCAAAATGTTATAGCATTAAGAGTAGGGGTGTGACAATATATCGCGATATCGATATATCGCGATACTTTCTTCCGTGATTCGATTATCAATATGCATTTTTTATGCAAAAAAAAATATATATATTTTTTTATGTATTTATTTATTTATTAGTATCAATATTTAATATATGGCTACATTACACATCTCCATTCCATTTATCATGAAATAAAGTGTATTTTTTCACTTAAAATTGTTCTTTTATTTATGCCATAAATTGGCATATGGTATATTTCTGACCAATATATCGATAATTGTCATATTGTGATATAATCGTCATCGTGAGCTTTGTATCGTATCGTATCGTGAGGTACCCTTAGGTTCCCACCCCTAATTGAGAGTGATTACTTTTCTTTCAAACAGAGTGATTTCATATACTGAGCTTATTCATTTTCTCTCAATGTCAAATACATACACTACAATTTTACAATGTGTATACTTATTATACATATTTTTTATTAAGCTAAAGATATAGATTTCAAGTATAGAGTTCTGTTACACTTAATATTCTTGCGTGGTGTGCTCCTCAATCCTGTTCTGTATTTTGTGTTAGTGGAATTTCTCCACTGTGGGACAAAAAAGGGATCTCCTAATATTAATCTTAATTTCCATTTAATTGATTTGAGGTGTGGATGTATTTCAATTTTCCATCACATATTTTGTAGTCAATATAATAACCTCTTCTCATAAAATCAGCCATTTTCTTCAGAGGCATAACATTGACTGCCTTAAACATAATGAATTGTTAACATTTAATTTATTGCATGACTTTAAACTCTTTTCTATGTCGATATAAAAACATGTGACAGTCATTGCTTCTGTTTTTGCTCTGAATGAAGCACATGTAGCCAGCGGTGCGTCACACAGCTCCAGAACATTATTATCATGACGTATTGTTGTGTAAGAGTCCATTGTTATTTCATTTAGTCTGGGACATATATCATGATGTATTGTTGTATATATTGTTATTTTATCCCTTCCACCCACCACGGCCTGTCCTCCGGCCATCTCCCGCCATCCCGTTGCCATGGAGCCTGGAGCATTGTTTGCTGGCCTTCGTGTCAGGTTGCCATGGCAGTGCTTATTTGCCATATTAAATGTTTTGGCAGCATTGTACAGATGCTGACGACAAACACGCATCATCATCATCTTGGATCAATGAAACGGCAGCGATTTCAGACAAAAACACACTTTGTACACACATCTCGCAAGACTGTAAAGCTGCGGACTCAAGTTGCTTCATGAGAAACCACACACCATACCGGTTCAATTGCTCGGCATTTCCACTCGATATGGCGGAGGAAGTCACATGGAAGCTATAAGAAAAAACTCAATGTTGAATTTCATTACTGTTAGTGTTTATTATCATTGTTATTATTATTATAGTATAGATTCTTTTCTAACGTGCAATTGTGAAGTCAGGTGTTTTGTGGTGCTAACTAAGTAAGACAGTAGGCGACCACAAAAATGGCATCCCTGGTAGATCAATTTAATTTTAAAGAAAATGTTATAATGTGTGTGATGTGACCCACTACTCATTAATGCAAAATGACTGAAGCAAGAGAAAACTTATGTTGCTATTATCAAAAATGTGAAATTGTTTTTTGTGGCTTGAAACTTAAATAATTACTATTTTCAGCTAATTTGTTCCGTCTATTCACATTTTTGTCTCATTAGAATCCTCTAGAAAATCCATACTAAATTAGGTACAAAAATCAGTCAACTAATACTGTACTAATATTGTAGATATATTTAAAAACAATATTTATCCTCTTCTATATTTGTATTATTGCTTTTTGGTATTGTCTGCACATAATACTGTATAATGCGGCTTATGTGGATGTCAATGCACATTCTGTGTCTACAATTGTGCATGTAATGAAATACCATCAATACCTGGACAATGTGGTTTAAGTGGATTATGGGGTTTGTGTGAATGTGTGGATGTGTGTATGTATATTTATATTGGTAAGGCTGGCCCCATGGGAGGGAGGGGAGAGGAGAAAAAACTTAAAATTAATGCGCTGTAACCGTTGTCACTTCTGTATACAGCGCAACACAATAACAATTTCATAAAACAAAAATCAAAACAAAAAACGAACACATATTTTGGTTGTTGTTGATTGATTAATCGACTAAAACCCAAAACTCACAGGCCTAGAGAAAAGGCAGCTTTGAGAATACGCCAAGTTCATTCCCCCTAGTGGTGAGATACAAGAATGCATCTTGTCGGGAAGGGTTGCAGAAAGTTACAAATTTAGTTAAACTACATTGTATGCTAGTCACAACTTCACTTTGTAACTAACCACATCCAATGATTCAATTGTTTTTTGTTTTTTTTAAGGGGGATAAGATTGCTGCATTCCCACGCATTATTTCAAATTATATTCAGTAGATGAAAGAAAGTATGTGCGTATTAGTGCTGCACAAGGTTGCCTGGTGTAATGTGTGAGCTGTTTGGTTATGAACAGATAGTGTGGAAATGCAGCCCATTGACGTAGTTAGGGCCAGATAAGCTCTCACTGCTTCATTGTCGACGTACCACTGCGGTTTTTGTGGTTTACTTTTTGCTACTTTTGCTTTCAGTCAGTCGTCGCTGGAGCAGTGTTGATTAGCATATCTGTAGTGAAAGTATGTAGTGCAGGAAAGTCAATGCAAAGTACACTCTGCACGTAAAAAGTTACAATGCTTCCTCTGGGTTGCTGCTTTGTGTACCGAAACTCGGACAGAGGTCAAATACTGTGCAATATCTGTGTAAACACGCTTAAAAATGTCACATAAATTACACGTTATGTTATCGCAGCACAGGCCGATTAGTTTATTTCCTTCTCCTGTTTTGCAGATGATACTCTGGGACTGGGATCTGAAACATTGGTACAAACCACAGTATCAGGTCAGTATTTGAATGCATGCACACATTTACACATAGAAATATACATCGAGATATGTTTTTAAGCATGCGTTAAGGTCAGCTATCAGTCCTGTGGTTATTTTTGGCCTGGGAAAAGACAATGAGTAAAGCATATCACGACCTTGAAATTTCAGTCATGCCTCACTTTATCTTATGCAGACATTCTTTGTCTTGTTTAAACTGTTGGGGTAATCGGCCAAGGAATGTATCTCTCACAGGCCGAAAATATTTATTTAGTGATGGCAGACGTGGACTTGAATGCGGTTTTTTAACAACAGATCTGTGTATAAAACAACAACAACAACCGCTGCAGTTTCTGTTATTGTAATTGTGACTACCGCAAGAAGTATTTCACAACCCTGGGTTTGCCTCATGTTCCTTGTATAGTCATGCCCTTCTTTTTTCTGTTTTACACATTCTAACCCTAACCCAATTGTGTTTAAAACATGAAATTAAATTAACAGTATTGAGGTGATTACAATGGGAAATGACTTCTAAGCAATTTCTTTGTGTAATATCTATAATGTACATTGTAGTATAGAATAATGTACATTCTACTTTATCTACGTATTATCCTGCCCTATATGAGGATAAATACAGAGAGAGAGATAGATGCAGTGCCTTGCGAAAGTATTCGGCCCCCTTGAACCTTTCAACATTTTGCCACATTTCAGTCTTCAAACATAAAGATATAAAAAAAAAATTTTTTGTCATGAATCAACAACAAGTGGGACACAATTGTGAAGTGGAACAAAATTTATTGGATAATTTAAACTTTTTAAACAAATAAAAAACTGAAAAGTGGGGCGTGCAATATTATTCGGCCCCTTTACTTTCAGTGCAGCAAACTCACTCCAGAAGTTCAGTGAGGATCTTTGAATGATCCAATGTTGTCCTAAATGACTGATGATGATAAATAGAATGCACCTGTGTGTAATCAAGTCTCCGTATAAATGCACCTGCTCTTTGATAGTCTCAGGGTTCTGTTTAAAGCGCAGAGAGAACCATGAAGACAAAGGAACACACCAGGCAGGTCCGAGATACTGTTGTGGAGAAGTTTAAAGCCGGATTTGGATACAAAAAGATTTCCCAAGCTTTAAACATCTCAAGGAGCACTGTGCAAGCAATTATATTGAAATGGAAGGAGTATCAGACCACTGAAAATCTACCAAGACCCGGCCGTCCCTCCAAACTTTCATCTCAAACAAGGAGAAGACTGATCAGAGATGCCGCCAAGAGGCCCATGATCACTCTGGATGAACTGCAGATAACTACAGCTGAGGTGGGAGAGTCTGTCCATAGGACAACAATCAGTCGTGCACTGCACAAATCTGGCCTTTATGGAAGAGTGGCAAGAAGAAAGCCATTTCTCAAAGATATCCATAAAAAGTCTTGTTTAAAGTTTGCCACAAGCCACCTGGGAGACACACCAAACATGTGGAAGAAGGTGCTCTGGTCAGATGAAACCAAAATCAAACTTTTTGGCCACAATGCAAAACGATATGTTTGGCGTAAAAGCAACACAGCTCATCACCCTGAACACACCATCCCCACCTCAGGTGTAGTTATCTGCAGTTCATCCAGAGTGATCATGGGCCTCTTGGCGGCATCTCTGATCAGTCTTCTCCTTGTTTGAGATGAAAGTTTGGAGGGACGGCCGGGTCTTGGTAGATTTGCAGTGGTCTGATACTCCTTCCATTTCAATATAATTGCTTGCACAGTGCTCCTTGAGATGTTTAAAGCTTGGGAAATCTTTTTGTATCCAAATCCGGCTTTAAACTTCTCCACAACAGTATCTCGGACCTGCCTGGTGTGTTTCTTTGTCTTCATGGTTCTCTCTGCGCTTTAAACAGAACCCTGAGACTATCAAAGAGCAGGTGCATTTATACGGAGACTTGATTACACACAGGTGCATTCTATTTATCATCATCAGTCATTTAGGACAACATTGGATCATTCAAAGATCCTCACTGAACTTCTGGACTGAGTTTGCTGCACTGAAAGTAAAGGGGCCGAATAATATTGCACGCCCCACTTTTCAGTTTTTTATTTGTTAAAAAAGTTTAAATTATCCAACACATTTCATTCCACTTCACGATTGTGTCCCACTTGTTGATTCATGACAAAAAATTAACATTTTATATCTTTATGTTTGAAGCCTGAAATGTGGCGAAATGTTGAAAGGTTCAAGGGGGCCGAATACTTTAGCAAGGCACTGTATATAGAGATATATTGATTTATTGCTAAGCTTGCTAAGACACATAACAGCTACTCATATTTTGTGTATATTTTGTGTGCTCGCCATGTGCTCCTACTGTAGTCCTATATGTGCTCTGCAACATTGAAATTTCCCCACTCGCGGGACAAAAAAAAGGATCTCTTTATCTTATCTTATTCCAGTTTGTGCAGCTCTATCATGTTTTTACAAAGTTACTCTCTTAATTACACAATAGTTGCTGATGTGTTGTCCTTGCTTTGCCACAGGGGGCTGTTAGTGGAAATGGCGTGGACCTCTCTGTCATAAATGAAGCTAGAAACCTGGTGTGCGACCTGCTCCTGGACGCGACCCTCTCTCCGCACACAGTGTCCGTCCTGCGCAGCGTCTCCAGCCTCATGGGGACTTTCTCTGGGTCGTGCCGTCCGCGGGTCAACCCCTTCACCCCCTTCCCAGGTTTTTACCCCTGCGACGAAATGGACGACTCTGTGGAGCGGATGGACAGGAAATCTATGAAGGTGGGTCAATGGATTCCCTCTGAAAGACAGACGCTGGACATAAATAGCAGCTTAAGAGGTGCATTACTGTACTACTAACAGCTTTCGTTAAAAATACATACACATCATTTACAGTTTATCTTCCTGTGTCTTTGCCTTTGTTTAGTACCACATTCTGCGGGACACACACATCACTCGTATTATTTGTCCTTTCACTGGACGGAAATACAATGCTTTCTGTTTACTTTCTTAGTAGCAGTACTATTACACTGTTATGGGAGCACACAGTGGCACACAGGCCTCACAGTATGAAGGTTGTGGGTCTGGAATAGAGGCCTTTCAGTGTGGAGTTTTCATGCTTATCCTCGTGTCTGGGTGGGTTTCCTCCAGGTGCTCCGGTTTCCCTACATCCCAAAATATTCAATCAATTAATCTGGAAAGTGAGTGAATTATGGGGGTATTTGCCGATGGTGCGGATTGGCAAGTAGAACACTGACTTCAGCGAGTTAGAGATTTCAACAAGCCTGTAAAGCCTGTGTATTATTATTATTATTATTTTTATTATACAGAGTGGTGGTAACTGGTAAACTACTACTACTGTAGACATGGCTGCCCTCTCTCTGACTGACTCTCTTTTGACTACAACATCTATATATTTGCATATTAGATCCATGCTAGGCACTGTGGCTGGAATGACTTGTTTAAGAACACCACAAACGAAAAATAAAAATGAGTTAGTTATTAGTTGTTTTATGATTATCCAACAACTTCATGTACACTAATTTTCTTCTGTAAAAATGGCAAACGGCGCTCATTTGACAGATTTGCTCAGATTAAAAGATTAGGACCAGTTATTTTGAAATACTTGTTCTATGGAAAACTTTCAAAGGCACACACCCTGCAAGTGGTTTATTGGAGCTGAAGTATGTAGTTTGATTATATCATGACTAGGGCTGTCAAAATGATCGCGTTAACGCACGTTAATTAATTTTTTTCATTTATCGCGTAAAAAAAATTACGCGATACGTGTGTGTGAGATGGTGACAGAGCAGGTATCTGGGAATTCAAGTTTTGAGAGAATAAACGCGATTCCTGTCTGAACTCTGCGAGCTGCGGGCGCTCTGGACAGCAGTTCCTCCAGCGGCTGTGATCACGGCGAACAGCGCAGCGTAACGTGGTCATATCATATCCATACACGCACAGAACTATTCTCTGATTGTAGTGTGTGTGTCTTTGCGTAACCAATGCACACAATAAATACAGCGTAGAAGCTGGACAACGGAGCCTGTCTCCACTGTGTCTTCTCCTGATGCGCACTCGCTAAATTAAAGCTGGGGTACCTAATTTTCCCTTCCACTACCAGCTCATGACAGATTTAATGACATTCTGCATTTCAGACTGTTTTAAATGTCCTTCATCTGTTACAAACAATAGTTTTGGTCTGAGTCTAAACAGAAAGACATAATGTTAATAATGTTAATACCATTTATTTATTAATTTATTGTTATAATAATCAAATACAGTGCATATGTTTGCTATGTCAACATTTATCTTTCCATTCAAACAACCATTTACAGAAAAATATGGCATCATTTTGTCCATAGTTTGAAATGCGATTAATGACGATTAATACATTTTTAAGCCGTAATTAACTCGATCAAAATTTTTAATCGTTTGACAGCCCTATTTATAACGTTCAGACTGCACATTAAGTCATTTTGCAAGTATTATTTTTGATTTAAGTGCTCCATCAAATATACATTAATAAAACATTTACTGCTCAAGTCACACTAGAACGTTGTCTATATTGCTAGTAGAGAGCAACTGATATGGGATAATTGCCTTGATCCAGTATTAGTTGTGAATTATCATGCACATCTTTTTGGTTTTGGTTCGTTATCTTAAATGCACACGTGTTGTTATACTGAACGTCCTTCTACACCATCTCTTTGCTGTGGGACAAACTTTTGAAAGCATTTTCTCCATATAAAATCCACAGTACTGATGTGGTGATGTCGATCCTTGTGTAGGGCCTGAGCAGCAGAAACAGCCTCCCGACTCCCCAGCCACGCCGAAGCTCCACCTCCTCCCCGTCACTCCCTCTGTTCGAATCCGCCTCTTTACGCTGGGAACGCAGCAACGGGAAAAGGACACACCCTGACCTTAATATGACCAGGTATCACATGTCCACACCGAGGCATACACAACAAGTGAATACCACCTTTATTTAATGGAAAGCATCCTCCATTTCCAGTACGTTTGCTCATTGTGTTTTGGAGGGGAGAAAAAAACAAAGTGTCAAACCATAAATTAATGTGTATATTATTGTTTCAGTAAGTAATACTTTTTGAAGCCGAAAAATATAATAAAAGCAGCTTTTAGAATCGTACCATCAAAACAAATGTTCCTCAGCGTAGTATATACTTTTAAAACTCAAAACATGTGAATATTGTTCATAAGTTAATTTTATTGTTTGTAATTCAACATGCAATGCGAAACCATGATATAGACTTTTTTTTAGTAGTAGTAGTTTATTTTCTTCAGCCAATAGGTACATCAGATCTCAGGTCACATGTTTGCAGTGATCACATATACACCTGTACATTTTACAACATGCTAGGGTTACACATGAACCAAAATGTGTCCATTAAGGATCTTAGTGCGAAACAATGCCTGACCGACGTCAAAACTTATACTGCTTAATAATACTAATACTTAATATTCACTTGTCTTGTGTTGTGAGCTTCTCAATCCTTCTCTTCTGTAATTTGTGATACAACACCTACATTTCTCCGCTGTTGGACGAGTATCTCTTAATCCTAAGCCTAATCAGTCCATTTTCTTTTATTTCTGGGTTTTTACAAGCAGTCAGCCATTTATGAACATCAGAAGAAAGACAGGCTTTCCATCTCTTTGCGTGTAGTGAGTCTGCGATAAATTAGTTTCCATTTTAAGCTGAAATACAGAAGTAAACAGACTTTTGAACTATTATAAACTGTGTTGATGCACAGTAATGCAGTGACTTTGCATGACCAGTGGATGGCAGCAGATGACCATCCATTTCATTCGATCTGGATTCCTATGCGACCAGTCTTTGTCTAAAAGCTTTCTGCAAATTAGTGGGAGTGGAGGAGAACGGATCAATATTAATGTAAACGCTTCTATATGTGCTCTGCCCTTCAGCTCAGGCCTGTCCAATGGACCCAATGCAAACCTACTCACCATTCCTAAGCAGAGATCATCCTCCGTCACGCTCACCTACCACACGGGGACAAGAAGAGCAGGTGGGTTACCTTTGAACACAGTCCGCCTATATTTATGAACGTTAGCAAACATCTCAAGCTTCTTTACTTCTTTTTTTAATTATTTAATTGTTTTATTTTGATTTTTAATTATATTTATTTTATTTTTTAATGTATTCATTTCATTTTTTTAATTTATTGTATTTATTTTATTTTTTATATATATATTTTTTTCTGTTTTTTGTCTGTTATGTCCGTATTTATGTTCCCTTTTTGATTAAAACTGTAAATAAAGAAATAGAATTATAAAGCCTCTTACTACTACTGTTACTGTAGGCACGTCTCCAAGCCTAAGCCCGGTCACCTCACCCAGCCACAGTCCTCCTGCCATGGGTCCTTCGTCGCTGGTCACCCGATCGCCGGTGGAGTTTCCCGACACAGCAGACTTCCTCACCAAACCCAGCCTCAACGTCAACCTGCACAAGCCTCTACACTACTCCTTCAGTTCATCAGACTTCCAGCAACACAGCCGCAGCTCCAGTTTTCAGCTATGTACAAGGTGATCTCACACAAAAGCAAACACTAAAATAAAATAATTGACTTGTAAAACTATAGTAAAGAAAAATATACAAGTGCTGTAAACAATCTATTTGGTTTGACACCACCTGGTCACTATAGAGATGTTATTTTCAGTAAAGTTTTACACTTACAATAGATCTGCATTTTTACAGCTCTCCTCTCCTGTCTCTGCATGAGCTGTATTATTTTCTAATTGTACAGTGAAACTCTGCATAAAGATATACTGTATTTGTCTTCATTATATAACAAGTACTGATTTAGGTTTTTTTTTACCAAAAGTAATCCTCTTGTTACAATGCCACAGTATTCTAGTAACTGACTTAAATTATTACGAAAGAGAAGCAAATACACTTTTTGCGAATTCAAAAATTGGACTGATACAAAGATCCTGATGTCATTATAATGTGTTTGGAGCTGATTTAGAAGATATTGAAACATGCATTCATACATTTGCCTCATTACCTTGTAAGGTTCATAAGGGTTAGCTGACAACATTCAACTCAAGGTAAGGTCACGAGCTCGGTATAAACCACGAAGCTTAATGAGGTACTTGAGGGAACTTTACTCAAAACACTCAAATCATTTTGAACTGGATTGGGATTATAATAGAAACTATTTGAGTGATACAAATATAATTCTCATGATTGATATCATAATAGAAGGTATTTTGGTTAAAAAAAAAAAGATTTTGGTTGAATATGTAATCTGCATGTGAGTCCTTAATAAAGTCTAAATAAAAATAGATAATAAATAAATAAATAATATAAATAGAAATTATTCTTGTGTTAATCTACTTAAAGCGGGAGTAAACCTACGGGTAATCGATTGACGCCAAAATGTACTAAATACTTATTACAAAAAAGGTTAATTATTGCATTTTATAGTCTCCAAATCTGGTTATTATACTATATATATGTCTTATAAGCAATGAAAAAAACCAATGGTCATTTTTGTATATTGCTGTGTGCCTGAAAATGCAAAATAGCCTTTTTTTGATTTTCCATTTCCCTTCAAAAATAGAAAATGTATTGAACGCAAAAGTACGTGGACCACCTACTAGAGTACATTTTTATTTTAAATGTTTTTTTTTTTTATGTTAAAATATTTCATATTTCACCGTGCTTGCATGTGTTGGAGCCTGTAAACTAGGGGTGTGACGATATATCGCAATACTTTCTCCCGCGATTTGATTATCAATATGCATTTGCAAAGTATCAATATCGATTTTGAAAAACAAAACAAAACAATGTTATTTATTTATTTTTTTACTTTTTGTTTTGTTTTTGAATTGGTATCAATACTTAATATATAGCTACATTACGCATCTCCATTCTATTTATCATGAAATAAAGAGTATTTTTTCTTTTATTTATGCCATAAATTGGCATATTGTACCCTTATACCCGAACGCTTATACCCGAACGCTTATACCCGGACTCTCTGATTATTATCCTGGGGGATTTTAATAAGGGAAACTTGAGCCAGGAATTACCCAAATACAGACAGTTTATCAAATGCCCGACCAGAGAGGAGAACACTCTGGATCACTGTTACACCACCGTGCGCGGAGCTTTTCGCGCTGTTCCCAAGCCAGCCCTCGGCTTCTCAGATCACTCCATGATACATCTGGTTCCTGCTTACAGACAGAGACTAAAGCTCTCGAAACCTGCAATGAGGAGCTCCAAAGTGTGGTCTGATGAAGCTGTGGAAGAGCTACGCGCATGCATGGAATCTACAGACTGGGACCTTTTCAGAGCTGCCACAGATAGTTTGGATGAATACACGGACACTGTGACGTCATATATTCACTTCTGTGAGGATAGCATCATTCCAACAAGGACCAGGGTCATCTATAACAACGACAAACCCTGGTTCACTGCTAAACTCCGGCAGCTCAGGAAAGCAAAGGAGTCTGCTTTCAGGGAGGGGGACCGCAGCGGCTACAAAGCAGCTAAATATCAGTTCAGGAGAGAACTGAAAGCAGCCAAGTCCCGGCACAGAGAACGACTACAGGAGCAGTTTGGTAACAACGATACTGCTTCTGTCTGGAGGGGCCTACGGGAGATCACCAACTACAAACCCAAAGCCCCCCCCTGTGCTGACGACCACAAGCTAGCTGACGATCGGAACTTATTTTTCAGTCGCTTTGATGCTGCCCCTGACACCTCTCCCTCCCCCACCCCCCACTACTCTAACGACCCACCCATCAGCCCTGCCCCCAGCCTAACAATAGCCGCTAAAGAGATTAAACAACTCTTCCTGAGGCTGCACCCCCGCAAAGCTCCTGGCCCGGACCACGTGTCTCCGGCCACTCTGAGACACTGCGCCAGTGAGCTTACTCCTGTGTTCACGGACATTTTCAACACCTCTCTGCAGTCCTGCCATGTCCCGGCCTGCTTCAAATCCTCCATCATTGTCCCCGTCCCGAAGAAGCCCAGGATCACAGGACTCAATGACTACAGACCTGTAGCACTTACGTCTGTCGTCATGAAGTCATTTGAACGCCTGGTTCTCTCCCATCTCAAGTCCCTCACCTCCCCCCTCCTGGACCCCCTGCAGTTCGCCTACAGAGCCGACAGATCTGTAGACGACGCCATTAACCTGGCCCTCCACCACATCCTACAGCACCTGGACTCCCCGGGGACCTACGCCAGGGTCCTGTTTGTGGACTTCAGCTCTGCCTTCAACACAATCCTGCCATCCCTGCTCCAGGACAAGCTCTCCCAGCTCAACGTGCCCGATTCCACCTGCAGGTGGATCACTGACTTCCTGACGGACAGGAGAGCAGCGAGTGCATCTGGGGAAGAATGTCTCGGACTCTCGGATTATAAATACAGGAGCCCCACAGGGCTGTGTTCTTTCTCCCCTGCTCTTCTCCCTGTACACCAACCACTGCACCTCCAGCCACGACTCCGTGAAGCTGATCAAGTTCGCGGACGACACCACCCTCATTGGACTCATCTCCAACAACGATGAGTCCGCCTACAGGAGGGAGGTGGACCGGCTGGTGTCCTGGTGCAGTGGTAACAACCTGGAGCTGAACGCCCAGAAGACAGTGGAGATGATTGTGGACTTCAGGAAGAGCACTGTCCCCCCACCCCCACCCTCCGTGATGGACTCCCCCATCACCTCTGTGGAGTCCTTCCGTTTCCTGGGCACCACCATCACCCAGGACCTCAAGTGGGAGCCGACCATCAGCTCCCTCATCAAGAAGGCCCAGCAGAGGATGTACTTCCTGCGGCAGCTCAGGAAAGCCAAGCTGCCTGCACAGATGTTGGTGCAGTTCTACACGGCCATCATCGAGTCCATCCTCACCTCCTCCGTCACCGTGTGGTTCGCTGGAGCCACAGTCAGGGACAAACAGAGACTACAGCGCATTGTGCGCTCTGCAGAGGAAGTGATCGGCCGCAGCCTTCCTTCGCTGCAGGACCTGTACGTCGCCCGAGCTCGAGGCCGGGCTGGTCGTATCACAGCCGACCCCTCTCACCCTGCACATGGACTATTCCAACCACTCCCCTCAGGCAGGAGGCTGCGGTCCATCAGGACTAGAACCTCCCGCCACAAGAGCAGTTTCTTCCCCTCTGCTGTTGGACTCTTGAACACTTCTTAACCTGTCCCCCCTCCCTTTATAAAGTCACTTTACTGCCCATCATACGTCACTTTACTTCACTGTACTACTGTCACCTTACATTGTGTGCACCATGTGCACTTGTATATTGTAAATAGTAACTGTAACTCTATTTTAAATTTAAATTTATTCTTTAGAAGTGTTTTTATTCTTATTTTTATTATCTCTTTTTGACTGTTGCACTGAGCCAAAGCAATTTCCTAGTCTGTGACCTCCTGTTACTTACGTGGCAATAAAAATGATTCTGATTCTGATTCTGATTCTGACCAATATATCAATAATCGTCATATGATAAAATTTTTATCGTAATATCATTATCGTGATATTATCGTTATCGTGAGCTTTGTATCGTATCGTATTGTGAGGTACCCTCAGGTTCCCACCCCTACTGTAAACAGCAGTTGATTATTGAAATCACTGGATTAGTTGCGATTAAGCATTTTATTGTTTCAGTTAGAAAACTAATTGTGTTTTTGTTTATAGTTGTGGACGCCAGATCCTGAAGGGACTCCCCAGCAGTGAAGCAAGTGATGGTAATCAATCCTTCACAAGTGACGTCCAGCGAAGACGCTCAGGTACAAATACAATTACATATACTCAAATATAGATCACATATACTAAGAATTTAGACATCGGACATTGTAGAAGGTCTTTTAGATCAATGATCGATGTCGGTTTATTTAGTCAAACTGTTTTTTTTTAAACACATGCTCCTAAAATTGACTCTTGAGTTCACTGACCACTGAACTGTGAGTGCTGTCTATGCCTGAGCCTACTGCCCCCTAGTGGCTGCTTTCACACATTTGTGGCTCCCTATGTCTCGATTGTAGAACACTATATACATGCATACATTTCTAAGGGCTCTGTCACTTCTTTAGATCAGCTTATTGGCACTTTCCCTGAAAAGAATGTGAAGACATATTTTCAATTGTAGAAGTACACGGCATTGACTTGGTGTTTTACTGCAGGTTGTGACGGTGTGGAGTTCACAGGAGAGCCGCTGATCAGAGAGGAGAGTGTGGAGGCCGAGGCGTCCGCAGAGAGTAGTTCGGTTCTTGAGGAGAGAGAGAGCGGCTCAGAGCAGCAAACTCAGGTCACAGAGGTGAGTTACATGCACAACCTGCTGCCTATGGATATGTACATTATGCACGTAGACACGTCTATAGTCTGTAGTCTGTGGGAAGGCGGTTCTATTCCCACTGGGCTAAAACCCAGGAACAAGATTGATTTGATTTTTTTTTTTTTTTCATGTTGATGGATGTAATATATAATATGTTGCACTTTTTATTATCTGTGCTGAACATGTTCTTCTGCAGTGACGGTTCCAAGCATACTTGGGATTTGCATTTCCCAGTAGTGACCTCTACTCTTAGAATAATCTCTATATGTACACTATACCATACATGCACAATATGGGAAATGAATCAGCAAAACATGTGGGTCTACAGATGCGGAGGACAAAGACTGCACAGGGGGAGAAGGAGTTCAGGCTCGACCCGATGTTGGAGGACCACAACGAGCTGATGGAGAGGATGAACACGTGGAACTTTCAGATATTTGATTTAGTGGATAGAACAGGAGGAAAAACAGGACGAATACTCAGCTATGTGAGTACTACATCTTTACCAAGTTAATTGTTCTTGTTTTAATCATTTGTCTTTGTTCCAGGTTACATACACACTTTTTCAGGACACTTGTCTTTTTGAAATCTTCAAGATTCCTGTGCGGGAGTTTATGGCATTCTTCTGTGCTCTTGAGAGCGGCTACAGAGACATTCCCTGTAAGTGTTGCCGTTACTGCAGAATGATGTTGTTGCCATCCAACTAACCATGTTTAAATACAGAATACAGTAACAATAGGGATTATGCTGTTGCAGACCATAACCGGGTCCATGCTACTGATGTGCTCCACGCTGTCTGGTACCTAACCACTCGACCAATCCCTGGGTTCCATCAAATCCACAGTGAGCATGTGACAGGAAGTGACACAGGTATGTGTTTCCAAAACATGACGTCTCTGAAGTGACCACAGTGACGTGCTGATGACCACAGCTGATGCTCTTGCAGACTCAGACAGTGGGATTTCTCCAGGAAGGGTGTCCTACGCCTCGTCCAAGAGCTCATCCATATCAGACGACAGTTACGGCTGTCTGACTTGGAATATACCTGCCTTGGAGCTCATGGCCCTCTATGTAGCAGCTGCAATGCACGATTATGACCACCCAGGTCGCACCAATGCCTTTCTAGTAGCCACTAATGCACCTCAGGTACGACATACACTGAGCCCCAGTAGTTGTATTGTTATTTTATCACTGTTTTAGTGAGTTTGCTTCTTGAATTTTCAGGGCAGCATTCATAAAATAATGTTAACACTTATTAATTGTGATGATAGCACAAAGTAAAACGTGCTATCATTAGACTGCTGAGTAAAGGCCCAGTCAAGAGGTTAGGTCTGTGACCTTGTTCAAATATTGTAATTTCACAACATAGCCAACAATACGGCTCAAATTTTCACAATTCCAATGAAAGTGGGTTAAAAGAAAGAGGAGGAACATACAATCAATATACTTATTGGTTGTATCACATAATTGTAATTCTAAGCAGCTAGATTTATAAGTAACTCTGTGGCAGAACTTTCTTTACATTTTCTAATCATTAGTATTCAGCATTAACTGGAATCAAACCAGTTGGATCTGCTTTTCTCTAGAGCCAAAAGGCTCCCTCTTTTTAATATAATACTATTTTAACAATAGACGGGAAAAATAATTACCTTCTAAGCTGTATACTTATATAAATCGGCTTCCTATTTGTTCCAGCTTACAGTATCTTTAAGAATGTATCATCGACTGTGCACCTACTGCTTTGTCAGTGGCAAAGTAGTTATTCAATATTTAGTAATACGGTTCCTGGTGACAACAATGTATCATGTTTGATATCTGTTATTGTGGCAAGACATTTATTGACTGCTCTTATGTTTTACTTTAGGCAGTTTTGTACAATGACCGCTCCGTGCTGGAGAACCATCATGCAGCCGCAGCCTGGAGCCTGTACCTGTCACAGCCAGAGTTCAACTTCCTCGTCAATTTGGATCATGTTGAATTTAAGCGGTTCAGATTCCTCGTCATTGAAGCAATACTGGCCACAGACCTCAAGAAGCACTTTGATTTTCTGGCTGAGTTCAATTCCAAGGTTTGCAACATACACTCAACTTAATGTATAATATAAATGTATTACGTCTGAGGGTCACAGTCTGGCATAAAACACCTCTTCAATTTAAGATCATTCACATAATTTCACTGTCGGCAGTGTAGGCTTGATCAAACTTCTCTGATTTATCCTAAACTTTTTCTCAAAGGTAAATGACGTGAACAGCCCAGGTATTGATTGGACCAATGAGAACGACAGACTGCTGGTGTGCCAAGTGTGTATTAAAATAGCGGACATTAACGGGCCAGCCAAAGTCCGGGATCTGCACCTCAAGTGGACAGAAGGCATTGTGAATGAATTCTATGAGCAGGTACTTACTAAAGCCTTGTCTGCCTGAATATTGAATTTACTGACACCTCACGTTACTGATTTTGCTGATTGATCATTAGGGGGATGAAGAGGCTCAGTTGGGATTACCCATCAGCCCCTTCATGGACCGCTCGTCACCGCAGCTGGCTAAACTTCAGGAATCATTCATCACTCATATCGTGGGGCCGCTGTGTAACTCGTACGACGCGGCGGGCCTCCTTCCCGGGCAGTGGATCAATGAGTACAGCTCTGATGAAGAGGAAGACGAGAGACGGCACGATTCTGAGTCAGAGGAAGATGACGAGGAGGAGGAGGAGGAGGAGGAGTTAGAAGACGAGCTGGCACCAAGTATGACTCCATACCATGTCACGTGACCTGTGCGCATTTACATCTGTCTGTTCGTCTGTTTCAGAAAAGAGGAAGAAGCGACGCAGGTTGTTTTGCCACATAATGCACCACCTGACAGAGAACCATAAAGTGTGGCAGAAAATCATTGAGGAGGAGGACAAGAGCAAAGATAAGCAGCCAGCAGAGAGCTTGCTGACCAGCTTACCGCCCAGCCTTCCCCCCTCTTCATCAGATGACATCCAAGTCATCCAGGAGGAAGAAGAGGGCGAGGAGCGGCAGTAACAACACCCAAGAAGGACACACATACTGTAGAGTGTAGGGGAGGTCACGCCTTTAACACACAGACTGATGCACATATGTACTCGTCCCCTCACACACGTCTGAAGAGTCTGTTCAACGGAGAAACGAAATGGCCTTACTACTGTGAGCGGATCCTTGCTGCAATAGTGGGAGCCCAACTCCTATGCACTTTCAGCCCATGGTGCATCTTTGCAGCCCGGAACAGAGGTGGGTCCAGAAGACGACTGCTGGACTCCACTGTTTCCTGGCTGTGATGCTGCCTTTAATGCGAAGCGCTTAAACCACCCTCTATTCGAAACGAAGTAGAGACAAGACAGAAACAAGCGGCGTTTTTGGAGAACCTAAAACCCTTTACCAAAGTTCAAACAAAAAGAGGAGCAGAGACTTTAGGAGAGGCTCTGTGCCCGTTCCTTTTGAATTAAGTATACACATATAGTATATCAAATGTGCCTGACTGAACCCTCATATCGGCCCAGAGCCTTGACTCGTGTAGTTCTCTTTTTGCTGGCGACACACAACACTGTATCGACTCAGTCACAGGGACTTAGCTGAAGTTGACTGATTAATTGCATTATGCCTGCATCATTTTGGATGCTTTTATTCATGTGGACCACCTGTCTTTATGTTAAAATATTTGTTTGGAGGGTTAGGGGCATGACCAGAGAATGACAGGGAGAAAGAGAGCACATTTTTTATTATTATTATTATTATTATTTTATTATGTAATTTTGTGTGTCTGTGTGTTCTTTCAATAATTGGCACCTAATCAGTGAAATGTCCTTTAGTGTTACGCATACACATTCAGATCATATTTTTGATTATAAGTATTTTTAAAGGTTACTCAGGATTTGCATAAACTTTCAACAATTTCTGTCATTGATATGGCACTTTCAGATATTCAACAAGGTGATTAAAATCTGGATGAAAGCAGTTTGTAATCTCTTTATGAACGACTACAGCAACAGACAACTCACAGGGATATCCACACACTTCTGTCAATGCTCTTTCTCAACTTGATTATTTTCATTATTATTATTATGACTACTATTGAGAGATACAGGTGCCCATTCACAGCAGCACTTTTCCCCCTGTATGAAAAATACATTGGTATCCCACAACTTAATGATAAAGGACAGAACAAGTCTAGTTTCCTTCTTGCATATTAATGAGATACAACAATAATCATCAAAATGCACAACACACATTTTAATACTAAAGTGTAAAGCCTTTATAGTACAGTGAACATTTAATATACAGTATACATATAATTCAATAATCATCAAGTGCATGTGTTTTGACTGTGATACTGACAATAATATTCTATTTTTAGGAGACAGTTTACCTGAATCAAACCTTTTGCGCTTGTGTACCAAATAATTCTACTCTCACAGATATCCTAGAATTTAGTTACCACCATAGTCAAGCGTAACAGTTTGAGATTAACTTTACAAATATTGACTTGGTTCATTGATATTTGTGTAATCCCTTGTCAATCCACAGGTGTTCCTTGATTTAAATGGTTTCAAAGAAAGTTATTATATAAGGATACTGCCTTTGAAACTGTTTTCTTCATAAAAGCATTATATCATCACAGAAAAACATGGCATCACTTTTTCTACCTGCCACAAAATACCATTGTGAACTGTTAAAAGTCTAATAAAATAACAAATAACAAATAAATTACATAATCAAGCATGAATGCCCCCAAATGTAGCCTATATGTAGCAGTGTCTGAGGTGATCATTTACTCATAAGTGCATTCATGATGTGGACAAGTGATTGTTGTGTAGCTGTCATGAAGCATCATCCTAGTGCTCGATTTTAACTTTCATGCTTTGTTTGTTTATGCTAACACTGCCATTTTGCGTCGCCGTTTGATTACTCAGAATACGGTGATTAGTGATTTATTTAGTTCTAGTATTTATCTTTGGAAGTCTGCCATTACATTATAAATCTTGCGACACCAACACCAGGCAACGCAGCCAATTTGCCACCTGAATAAGTATTTAAAACTGAACATTTACAGTATATCTAATAAGTATTGAAAAGCATTTAAACTGAGCATTTACAGTATATCTAAAAGTATTGAAAAGCATTTAAACTGAACATTTACAGTTTATCTTATGCGTTTTGAAAAGCATTTAAACTGAGCATTTACAGTTTATCTAATACGTATTGAAAGCATTTAAACTGAATATTTACAGTATATCTATACAGTGACAAGTTCAGTATCCTGTGGGTGTTACATAATCATTCTTCAGCTCTCATGATGTTCTATTATCCAACAGGAAAGTGGCTAATAACCCTGCATTGAATCTCATAGACCAGTGATTATGAATAATAGTCCACATCTCAATAAAAAAGTAAACACTTTATGGACACTTGTATATACATATAACATTTTAAGAAATAACAAAACACACAACTAAAAAGAAAACCAAAAATATTGCATTCCACTTTGTACTTGTCAGCACTTCTAAGCACCATTACTTTCAAGAGCACACTCCCCATGGAGGGAGGCACTCGCCCACATGACGTCACACTTGGCCCTTTTTCAGCTCTTCACAGAGAACAGAACTTTCATAGAAATGTTCATTTTGATCCACGTGCCCTGAACTGTCACTTATCTAACCTGAGCATGTCCTGAGGAGACTGGCCTCTGATCTGTCTGGGTGTACATAGTGTCAATCAATCAGTCACACCAGGGGTCACAGACATCCCCATGTTTGTCTGTGCAAAACTCTCATGCTAGTGCTTCCAGGAATTCCTCCGATTTCCTCTCATTAAAGAATTCTGAAAATATGCAGTACAAGATCCCGAAACCATGTGCAAAGCTGCATTAGACCCCTGTGTCCTTAGGAAACCTACTCTGTGGAGCGAATGGAAAAGTGCACAGTCTCGGTTCAGCAGAGTCCTCTGGCACAGACAGACGGCTATATGAAACGTTCAAATAAAACTAATACATTATACTTATGCTAAGGAGTGTGTGCAGGACTGGGAACTCGCTGCTGTCTGCGCACAGCACAAATGGAGTAAGGCTTCGGCTGGAGGGTCATGCCGAGTTTGGGAGTGACAGAGGGAATTGTTCCTGGAGGAAACTGTAGATGGAATCTTTGAAGCAATGTGGTGAAGAAGAGAAACATTTCCATTCTGGCTAATTGCTCACCCAAGCACTGGCGTCTTCCTGACCAGAGAAAGATAAAGACATTTTAAACACAGGTAAAAATGTATCTTAAGCATGTTAAACTTAACAGACATGTTAAACTTACCTAACGAGAATGGAAGGAAGGCCTCACGTCTGACAAAGTTACCATTATTGTCCAGAAACCTCTGTGGTGAGAAAACACCCGGCTCCTGCCAGTACTTCTCGTCAAAATGTACAGAGTAGAGGTTAGTGATTACCAATGTGCCTTTGGGAATTTTGTAGCCATTGACATTTGCGTCCTGGGACGTAGCTCGGAAAATGCCCAGTGGAACAATGTTACAGAAGCGCAGCACTTCATGCAGTACAGCCTCAACAAAAGGCATCTTGTGTTTGTCGTCGAGAGTGGGCATCCGACCATTTGTCAACACACTGTCAATCTCTCTGTGCACTCTTTCTAGATACACACAGGAAAATGTATATTATTAACGTGAATTATGATCACCAATGACAATATTTCTCAATAAAGTAGTTTGCCATTGAACTTACCTTGTATATTTGGGTAGAGGGCCATGTAAAGCATCGCCCACCTTAGAGTGTTAGTGGTCGTCTCAGTGCCAGCTATTATCAGCTCGCCCACAGAAAAGATCAGATTCTCTTTTGAAAATGACGAACAAGTGTCCCCTGCATTTTGTTCCAATTCATCCAGATATGCATCCACATAATGTCTTGGCACATGGGGCACTCGACCTTTTGAAAACCCATCTATCACCTCTTGTAAGAAGTCATACACCTTTGCAGCATTTCGGAATAACTTCTGGTGTTTTCCAAACGGCACATACTCCAGCCAAGGAAACGCATTGTAGAGGAAGGCCCAGCTACTGACTGCAAGCTCCACATTCTCACTGAAGAGCTCAATCATATGCTGGAAGTTTTTGTCGTCGTATGTGAAGCGCTGTCCGAAGATGATGAGGTTGGTGATGTTTGAGACAGCATTGGTCACCAGATGTTTGGGGTTGAATGGTTTTCCTTTGTGTTCATCTATGGCATCAATAAAGAACATGCACTCCTCTGAGATCTTCCTCTCAAATAACCTCTGACCACTGCCAAAGTAACGGAAAGAGTTGCAGGCCAGTTTACGGTGCTCAATCCAGCCTTTGCCGTACTTGCAGTTGAGTAAACCTGTGGAATGATGGGTTTAGAAATTGAAGCATTCATAGTTAACCATAGTCACCATAACAATTCTTCAGACTCTCACCGCCCATTTTAGTCATCTTTTGAAACAGAGGCAGAGATGGACGGTCAGCAAACACTTCACTCTGATGGTAGAGACATTCTCTCAAACAGTCATATCCATTTAGCACCACAGCCAGGATGCCTCCAAGATCCAGGCTGAAGATCTGCAACAATGATTCATTTAAAGAGAGAGAAATCTGTGGGTCTAAACACACATCTATAGACTGCATATTTCTGAACACATATGACTACACGCTTACATTTCAGTCGACAGTTTCTTCAGTTACTTCATGCAGCACTTTACCAGAATGGTGACTTGAATAGTGGGACTCTTTCCAGACAACACTTGCATTTGAAAACTATTTAAAAGCCTACCAGCGTGTTTCTTGTGTGTCTTCTTTTATAACAATTACATCAGTGGCACTGACAGAAAGAGTTGCAGGTCCGTGCAAAAGCTCCTCTATGAAAGTCATTGGTGCACCGGCACGAGTTGCATAAGTGCGTCCTGCTGTGCGTAACGGCCGCGGCGGCTCTTGGAGCGCTTACCTGTCCGTGAACTTCACTCTGCTTCTTCAGGAAGACGTGCGGCTCAGTGACTAGAGACATAATGTTCCCGATGATGGGGATGGGGGACGGCCCCGGGGGGAAACCCGCGGGTCTCCTTTGCTTGACGAGCTGACGAACCAATACCAGCAGAAGCAGCACAGCGCTCACTGAGCCCAGAACCAACAGGACCTGCACGCACGACACCGGCATCAGCCCCGGGTTCCTGATGGTGACCATCTTTGTCAGGAGTTTCTGCAGTAGGCTTCTCCTCATACAAACTGAGCCACAAGTATCATCTTGCACATAGTCTACCCCCGCCTCTTGTGCTTAGATTGGCCAGAAAGACAGAGTCAGCTGTTGCTGAACTTTGTTCTACTCCTGAGTCCGGATCAATAATCCGGATAATTGTAGACTGGGTTCTGGCTAATGTCTGGCACAGAGCCAAACTTCAGAACTTTTTTTATTTTTTTATCTCAGTATTCAAATGAACTCCAATGTGGATTTACTGAACGTCGTTCCCATACCTCATTCAATTGTATGAACAATATTCTCATTTAATCTGGCTCTGTCTGTGAATGTGTCTTTTCATGGTAAGTTACATTTTGTAAATAAATACATCGCAGACAGAGGAGGCATATCACACAGCGGTCAGTTCAAGCCACAGGACAAAGGTCCAGAACAAGTTACACTGAGGTCGAAGCTCAGGGCACATTCCAGACTGACATGAGAACCGCCTCTTTTGAGCTTAAGACCTCTTGACCTCTGTGCTTTAAAACCAAGGTTCCCAAACTTTTCACTCCAGGACCCCCTCAACCCCCACAGCAGTACCCAATAGTTTTTATTCACAAGGCAGGTTTAGTCTTGCTTGCTTGCAACATAATGCGGAGGCAATTTGCAATTTGCTGAGACTTATTCTCAAATGAAATAGGTCTAGCAGATCTAGACTGATCAGTTGATTCTCTATGATTTCCTTCCAAAACGTTTGTTTTTGCTCACTCCATGTGGGCATGATTTCATAGTCATCGAATAGTCTGATTAATTGTCAAAATGAGTAAGAAACATAAAACATGCACACCATGTACCTATGGTCAGGACTGGAGAGGGAGGGTTACCACAGCGACCACTGAATGTCTTTATGTGAAAGTGACAGCACTGGGCTAGCTCTTATTTTTTGTGTAGCTTGTCATTTTAAAATAGTAAGGAGAAGAACAAACAGAGTAAAATCTCTAACAGATAAGTAAAGTAATGTAGTGCTGGTACTTAGTTACTTGCCTCCTCTGGAAAGGAATCCTGTTTTGCAGCATGTCTGAACAGTTTTTGGGAGAGATGAGCTTTTTGAGAGAGCTGTAACGTTGCACAGAACTGTTTGGTCGGATGATCTTATTGTTTCAGGAAGAAGTTTTCTGTTTCAGGAACAACTGTGAGTGTTTTACAGAGTCATTTAAGAATATAGGTCTGGATCAATAGGACATTTTTCTCTAAGCTTGTCTTCGCTTGCCATTTTGCAAAACACTGCAACCAAAGTTTGATCCATTCTATCCATTCATCTCAGATGATTTTTCAAAGTTTTCAATTCGCCAACAACAAACCAGAGAACCAAACAGTTTGAACACAGGATATACAATAGAAGACATTGGAGCGGTATGACCATAACATAATTTCCATTTATGTTAATATGCATTAAATAGTGATCCAAACACCGTACTCTTGACCCGACAGTGAACTTTGCTTAAAAAAGTACAATGTGTTCATGTAAATCTGCAAAACAGAATCATTTACACAGATTTCAGCACATGTTCAATTCATTATAATCAGCATAAAGAATATCAATGACATATTGTTTACGATTGCACTTGAATGCCAGCCACCCACTAACCTTCTTTCATGCTTACCGTGGATCAACAGCTGAAGCAAACGAATGACAAACAGGAGAAAATGTTTGTATCCATTGAAGCTGTTATATCAATATGAAGACATTGGACCAAAGGCACCAGTGCACGCTCAGAAACAGAGCAGGACTTGTAAGAACATTTGTAGAGCAGCATTAGTAGCTCCAAAAAAATTACATCACCATTTCTTTATTTCAGTAAAAGTGCACATTTACATTAGGCTGGCATTATTGCAAATCTCAATTTATAACTTTTGAAATGTGCTTCATAAATAAATATTACTTACTGTATTCCCAATTCAAAAGAGAGATGTGTTCGACATGTTGACTGCTGCTTTGTGTTCGACATCAAATGTGTTACGACGTGTGTGTGTTTGTGTGTGTGTGTTTGTGTGTGTGTGTTTATGTGTGTGTGTTTATGTGTGTGTGTTTGTGTGTGTGCAGTGTTGGGTCCATGCAACAGAAACTTCAGTACATATACAAAATCTGCATTAAAACGGCATTTTCATATTCAAAGGATTGATTTTTTTGTATTATTATGTAATGTGCAATCAGGGAGCATAACTACTTCAAAAAGAAGTCCTAGACTAAAAATTTAATATTTTGTTTTCTTTTCGGGGGTGACGTGGCTGCTGGTCATTTTTTGGTTTTGAACGCCATGTTGATGGAATAGTCGTGATCCTGCAACTTAGCCCAGTCACATGGGGAGACAGTGTTCCAACCAAAATCTGGAAGTCTTCCTGTAAAATAATGTTTGAGACTTCAGTATACATCACAAATATAGTGTTATAGGCCCGCATGTATACATAGAAAATAGGATTAGAGGCCATTTCAATCCGTTTAGATTAGAGTATTTCTTCAACCCTTTAAAGACACTGTGATTTTTGGATGATTTTAATGCCTTGTGTTTTTCTCGATTTTGTTTTGTAAAGTACTTTGAGTTGCCTTGTCTATAAACTGGCTTCATCTATCTCTCTCACTTTGGTGTTGAATCTGAATAAAACACTCTGGAGCACAAAGGTAGAAGACACCGGACTCACGGGAAAATATTACATCAATCCCATGTTTGGCAAGATTCGTGCTTGGTCCCTGCATTTTAAACTCATTCCAAATGTCTAAAATAAAATAGACTACTTGAATAAGACGGAATAGATTATGATTGATAGTATTCTCTCTCTATAGATATTGTTTAAAAATACATAAGTGAAGTCAGCATAGACATGTCAGTTATCTGAAATTCAGATAAGGTACTTTATTGATCTCACACTGGAGAAATTTACAAGTCACATTTGGCATGGATAGAATCAAGAGTGTGCAAAAGACAGAAATGAGCAAATATGTTAACGGTTAAAAAAGTGGCAATAAAAGAAAGAGTGGCAATAGTATGTCATGCACGCAACTGATCCGGCCTAAATCTCTTCATTCTGTAAAATTGTTTGTTTATAGAAAATGAAATGGTTGCATGCATGGTGTTCTTGTTTCTTGTTGATAATAAATGAACAAAGAAAAAATTAACAATAAAAAGTCCATGATCCTTCAGAGATTCATATGAAATGCTTCAAATGTTTAAGCACTGGCACCAGACAGATAATGATGTCCTTATTTGTTGGAGGAAACAGCGCGGGGGGTCGGTGGTCCAGGACTTTGCTGCTAATTGCGATAAGTTTCTCCAAAATCCGGTCTGTGGAATCCTTGAGTTTCTCTCTGTGAGTATTCTTCTCGATCAGAATGAGGAGTATTTGGCCCCGAATGCTGAACTCGGATGGTCATTGCAGTTGGAGTGGTCACCTGCTATCCCCCCCACACGGCGCCAGGGTGCGTATGGATCCTGTGTCTGCGAAATATGTATAGATTTTTTGTGTGTGTGTTATTATTATTTTTTTAAACTTAATTTTAATTTCAGAACATTTTCCTATCTTCATAAATGTAAATGTGATAAAAAACACAATATTACAAACCCATTCTCTCCTAATCTAAAAAAAAAGTCATCCATTATTTAATTAATTTCAATTTAGTGTAACATAATTTTGTATAGCCCTAAGTCTCGGAGGACATTACGAAGTTGTCGGTTCATCAATAGATCAGAGAATCAAACGGTTCAAACAATAGGAAATGCAATAATAACAAACACATGCCGGGAGAGCGGGATGACCAATGTCCATAGATGTTAATTAATAACCATAAATGTCCTTAAATTATTTACTACATAACATTTTCAAAAGAGTGTTTTGAGAAAATGTTTGCATCATGTGAGCTGTAAGTGACAAATATATGTCACATGTGTAAAAGCAGGTTCTTTGGACCCGGGTTTAAAAAGGAGACCACTGGGTTAAAAGCAAATTAAAAACTATTTATTATAAAATACATTAAAAAGCAATTCGGGCGTTCTGCTCTCCCAAAATTTCATCCACTGAGCGGCGCTGTGATCAAAAAATGACACCGTTTGTTGCCCAGTTCACTTCCGGTTGATTTCATACAATGGCGAATATGGCTCACGAAAACATTTCACGATTGACAGTGCCTGAATTGCGTGAAAGGTTGAAGCGAAAGGGTATTTGCAGTGTGGGAAAACGAAAGGAGGAATTGTTGTTGCTAGTTCAACGAGCGGATGGTGTTTATGAAGATTTAGAAGAAGATGACAGCGAGCAGAGTGAACGAAAACGGCTGTGTGTGCGAGTGACAGATGGTAACAATGAGAATGAAGTTCAGCTAAGAGGGAAGAATGTGAATTGGACGGATGATTTGCGCGATATGCCACTAGTTAGAGACGGGAATGTATTTGCATACAGAAAATGACGAAAACACTCAACCATTTAGAGAAAATGCGCCGGGCAGAGAGAACCGGAAGTTGCGAAGGCAAGTGTTACCCATAATGCAACGCAAAATTCAGTCGCTCCCCCGCCCATCGGATGGAATTTTGGGAGAGCAGAACGCCCGAATAAAAACAATAAAACCCATAGGCTATAAAAACACGGACTAAAAAGCTAAAACAGAGGCTAAAAATCCTTCTGGCCACGGCCTGTGTCGCCAGACCACGGGGCTCTCCCCACGCCCGTCTGGCCCACGTCTCACGCTCCGTCCTTTCTCCTCTCTGCCCCCCCCCCCCCCCCCCCCCATCTCCTTTTGTACGCAAGGCACAGGTGTTCTAATTATCACGTGGGGAGCCGGGGTGTTTCGGGTCGTGCAAGTTAAAATCAATGTTAAAAACACACAAACAACATGCATAAAATATAAATAAAACCCCCCACCATTTTGCACCCATTGACATATATACATATTTTGCTAAAGAGAAAGTGTTGAGAGATGTGTAAAGGCCATTGTGCTCAAGATTAAGACAAAAATAACTCAA